TTCAAGCATATTAAATGAATAATGATATAATAGATATAAACTATAAACCATATTGCGGTAATCCTATAAATATACCGTCTGGAAATGAAGCGCCCTCTCTTTAGTTTGCCAATGTGTTCTCAAAAAGCAGCCCATCTCAAAAATAAGCCCCATGGGCTTTTATTCGAGATAGTATAGGCTTCTTTTCGAGATAGCACAGTAGGTTAATGTGACTGTAAATGAATTTAAAAGAAACAGAGATAAACAATGAAAAACACACTGGTTTATTCAATAGTTTAGCTAATATTTTTTCGAGGGAGGCGTTTATTTTTTGGGGTGTAAAATGTATACGTATGTACTCAAATAAACGCCCCTAATTTTACTGTCAATGTTGAACTACAACATATAATTACCGTCAAATGTGTTATTATGTGATCAGGAAAACGTATTAATCCAAAACGTAATTGTACTCGAGTAGAACATTAATAGAATGTAATGAGAATGATGTTGCTGCCATTAGATTTGTTAAAGCCACTTAGGGGGTGTTTGTTTGAGGAAAAAAATAAACGCCCGGGGCGTTTATTCGAGGGAGGCGTTTATTCCAAATGAGGGCGGAGAGGGGCGTTTATTCGAGGGGGCCTTGTATTCAAATTGTTGTAGTTGGTGCATAAACGCACTATTTAAATGTGAATTATTTAGAAAAATGAAAATAAATAAATAAATAAAAAAAGCCGAAGAAGAAATCTAGTGAGTACTAGGCCAATGTAAAATGTGACTTTCATATATTATATTCTTAATTAATACCGGTCATTTATTATTGTGATCTTTTTTGGTTACCGTATATTTTCAATAAAGAAAATCAATGTTACATGTTTCCATAAAAGATAGTGTTCATGACGCCACAATCAATTATTATATTAATATTATTATTATTATTATTATTATTACTATTATTATTATTATTATTATTATTATTATTATTATTATTATGTCACACTATGTACCATCATGTTCTTCTATTGAAAACGATAAAATAATAATATCATTATCATTTTCAGTTATATTATCAATATAATACGTATTTTTTGTTTTGTACATAAGAGAAAGAAACAAAAATTAAGAAAACAAAAAGGTGTAATTTATGTGAGTTTGCATATGCAGGTGTATATCATAAAAAAAGAGAGGAAAAAAAAGAGTAACAAAAAGAGAAAGAAATAAAGGTGAGTGAAATTCCCACGAAAGATAAATAAATGGTGTATTCACTCTAAGAAAAAAATATGTATATGTGAATGTATATGAAATATGTGTATGTATGTACATGTGCATATATATGTATGTATATATATATGTATGTGTATATACATATGTATATATACACATGTATATATATTTATATATATATATATTTATATACATATTTTAAATGTTTTGAAGAAATTCTTTAATTTTGAATGTTAATGATGAAAAAGAAATGTTATTTTGAAATTAATACAAATTGAAGTTGAAAGGTGTGTTGAAAAAGCCATTATGGACTGACCCCTTTTAAGTGCAATTGGTTTTAATTTTTATATTCTTTTTCCCTGTCTTCTAAAAAAATAGAAAAGTAACAAAAAGAGAATAAAATAAGGGTGGGTGAAATTCCACGAAAGAGAAATAAAATTATAATATTAACTATTATTTTTATTATTATTATTATTAAAACTATATCATAATATAGTATAATTTTAATATCAATATCAAAATATCATTAAAATAATTCCAATTCATTTGTTTATTAAGTCACAAGTTGCAATATACGAATACAATATTCATTTTATTACCGAGATTGTTGTGTGGAGAATGAAATGTAGACGGAACAAAAAATGGATGATAGAATGGTTAAAAACCTTCTAACAAATTCTCCTGGTTTACGTAGTTACGTATGAGCGACTTTTTTATACCTTGTTTAGTAAACCCGCCGACCGCAAATATTGAGGATTTCGAATAAAAATAGAATTTATATTTTGCCACCACGCCGCCACCACGAAAAAACGGAAATTACAGAAAAAAAGTAAAAGTTTTTCTTGATTTTCATTAAGCCCTCCGTTGTCTTGAATTCTCCGAAGATAAGATATGTAAATTTCTTCCTAATTATATAAATTTGAAGCATTTAACCATCCTATTTTACATTCACCAATAAAATTTTATTTTTATTTTCTCTTCGGTCTGGATGTTTTTGGCAAAACTATTTGCTAAATAAGAAATTGTATTTTTATTTTTATTCCGCCCTCCTCCTATGATATTTGAAATATAGGTACAAAAAGTCTCGCCTTGTGACAGCATTTGACCCGATTACTTATAATGTCCAGGATTTGAAATCTCACTATTAGCATGACTAATCCACCCTGGAATTTCACCATTCCTAATAGGTTTGTATTTAGCAAACGTTCTATTGAAACCAGTTTCTATCGAACGATTTTTAGTCAGTCGCTCTTATGGGTTTTACTTGTCAACCAATAAGCATCGTTGAATATAGACATGCGATACGGTGTGAAGTCAACGCCATAAGAACGGGCCACGTTTACTAGCGATAAGACAATTTATAGTATCCATTTAAATGTAATAATAAAGCAAACTATATATAGCTTCTATTTCTAAAGGGGACGCCGCTCACTCATGTTGACTCTGAAGCTTAGACAACAGAGATAACGGTGTTGCGGAGATAGGCCACCTTCCCAGCATGATATATCGGGCAATGATATAGCGCACCAAACGTTAAAAAATCAAAACCATTGCTTCAAGACCTTAAAATCCTTATTAATACTTCATAAATAGCGTCTTTATTCTATTACATTACGAATACTGTTTAGGAGGAGAACCTTGTCCGTCTTCCAGTTGAGTGCAAACGTCATACTTATAGATTATAGCACTTTGGGTGGACTCTGGTGCGAGTGCGATTAGTTTTTACACCCTATAAAATTCCAAAGGTTTGTGATTTGACAGTACATTCTGCTGTTATATCCATTCTCTGGATGTTCAAGGAAAAAAAAACATACTGTAATAGTCCCAACATGATGGCACAGTTTTCCCCGACGATAAAAAGTGGGGGTAGTAGGGCGTCGCCCGAAACCTCTCGAAAATGTCCCCACGGAGTCGAAGCCCACGAAGAATATGACAATTTAGGGGTTTTGATTGCTTATTTAATCAATTTTAGGGTAATAATATGTAGAAATACAAATACATTTTTTTTCTCCCCGACGAATTGTAGTTTTTCTCCCCGACTAGGGGCAAGCTCTCCCCGACGGGGACCCTTGCCGCCCCCTCCCCCTTCCTCGGCCCCCGCTGGCGCCACCTTTGGTGAACAATACTATAGCCTATGTCTGCCTTTTTCCAGTGCGAGCTGGAGCTGTGTAAATTTGTTAGTTTAAATATTTGCTCATATCATGATTGCAACAAGATTGTAAATACATTGTTAAGTTGGCGCCTTTTTTTAGCCAGGTTTTTCCGTGATAGTTCGTGACTCATGGCATTGACACTAACTGTACGTTAATACCTGTTGAGGGCAGTGGCGTATTTAGGGGTGAGCGGGGACGCACGACCCTACCACCGCAAAATAATATACTAGCAGTCATCAAGTTCCCCTCACCCCCACAATTCCATCCCCGAGCCCCTCTCCCATTTAGAGAATCCTAGATAAGCCACTGGTTAAGGATTAACCTTTGTATGTAACTTTTCTGCATCTGCTACGATATTCCTAAATTTCAGACCATCACAGGCTAGGTTTACCACCGTGTAAAAAAAAAATTGCTTGAATTAGATTTTTCAAAATAATAAGATACTGTAAAACAGGCATCACATAAGCAAGCCAAGGTTTGAATTTTAAAAAATGTAAAATTTGTATATCAGCAAAGATATTTTATTATAATGATTATACTCCAATAGTATAAATCTATCGAGGCATACTTACGTTTACAATGCATTTTGTCTTTGAATTGATTTTAGTTTCAGAGGTTACTCATAAATATTAGTATTATACCTCGTTTTAGGCTGTGTGATAAAAAAACAAAGTTTCAACGTCTACCGTACACTACCGTACAAAATGTGATAGCGACACCAACGCTTTCTCTTGAGGCAATATGTTTCCTATAATTAATGGCAATAAAAATAATTATTCATTAAAGTCCTATTGTCTCCGTCTGCGAAATTATTATTATTCTTTTTTTTAAATCGGTCAAAAAACTTTTGATATGCATTTCAACTAAAGTTATCAACACTTTTGATACTCTCAAATGAGCTACTCAATTGTTTTAATTTATCGTTTGTATTGAGGTTTTATGATAGACGGTGGATTTCTAAAGCCCCGTCCAAACTATCACTTAGCTAGGGAGCTTTCGATTTGTGTGACGACGCGACGCTAGAACGGAATCACTCGTGCGTGACCGTCTTACCTGGCTTTCCTCCTACGTTCTCTGCATACGCAGATTTGGCCAAATTGCGTTCCAGAATCTACTCGACGAGGACACCTTAACGTTCTCGCATGTGCAGATGACTTTTACTGACGTCATTACGTTCTACGTTCTACCGTCGTCGTGCAATCGGAACCTCCCTAATATTATGACTTGACAAAAACATGTTACATACCATGCCTAAATAATATGGTCATGATAACACCAAATAATGACTATATGGTCACGTCATGACTATATTATAGGGCATTCGATATTTGTTTCATTTAATACTGCAAGTTATATAAAATAGTTACATTATTAAATATTTTATACTTTTGGTCTTTTTACGTAACTATAATATCAAGTAGGGGAGTGTGTATGGACCAGTAATTTGGCAGGTGTGGTAGTAGTGTTTGGGGGCCCGTCATTTAAATTATGTTAGACAAAACTGAACTGCTCAGTATAGCAAAGTGAGACACCAATTTAATAATGTACTCATAATAAAATGTAATGAACATTAACCGAGGAAATACAGCCACAACTAATTACAAACACTGAGCACATCAATATGTAAATCAATCAAATATTACTACCTGGGTTAACGCGTAACCATGATTCTACTATCACCAAACCAAAAAATACTAAACAATCGCATGTCCTCAACTGCACTTAGTACTGTTCGCGGTTGGCATAATTAGGATTTGCTTGAAATACTTCCACCTACAGTTGAATATAAAGGCAGCGTTTAAAGGCAAAGCTTTCTACATAAAAACATTTCAGTTAAACAAAATGCCTGAAAGCAACTTGTCACGAACGCGCACGAGAAATGGAATATTGTATTATGTAACTTAGTAGACATGCGCCAGTTCTAAAACTATTACACCCATACACCCCAAAAATGGGTGTAGTATTTCTTTAAGCAAGTTGAAAATGTTCGAAAAGAATTGTTTCAGATCAAAAATATAACAAGACTAACCCGATGAAAGATGTATTATGCTGTATTGTTTTGGGAAGTTTTTATCAACACTAAACTCTAAAAACATGGCAGTTTGTTATAAGTTTGTGAATATATTACCAGACACTATTGGCGGGGTTAGTTGATAGAGGGTGATTGATTGGTTGGTTGGTTGGTTGGTTTGATGGTCGATTGATGGGTTTTTTGATGTCGATTGATTGTCTGGTTGTTTTATGATTGGTTGACAGGTGCGGATCCAGTAGGGGGAACGAGGAAACGTGCCCCCACCCCATCCACGTTTTGCCAATAAATTTTAAAAATGTCAATACATAATAACGTTATATGCTACTCACTTATCTATTCTGAGAGTGTTGTGCCCCCGAGTTCGAAAAATTCTGGATCCGCCCTGGTTGATCGATTGAATCTTTGATTGTTAGATTTAATACCATGACTAGATGTCATGTGACTATCGTCGTGACGATTCTAGAATGATACGTCAAACCATAATGCGAACAAACATTAAACGTGTAATGCAAACAATAACACGATCATTGGATTTAATAAATGCTAATTAGGTCATTTCCCCTTTAAAAACATGATATACGCCTAATGATGAGCAACCAAAACTTTTTCCCATCATTTTTTTCCCTACTGGATATGTCTAGATCCCAAATAAGGCTTTGCAATCGGCGCATATCACATTGCCGTGTTCCTTTGTGATTCAAGATGCAAAACAATATATATTTTCTATACTTGCAGTATATAAAATAAATATTATGTGAACTAACATGTTACGATTCAAAGAGTTACAGTCTATGGTAAAATATGTGTAATCCATGGGAAAGTCAAATAATATATTGATTTTCTCGTAATTGCAAAATTGTTTGAAAAGCAATTTCAATATACCAATTGCTCTTGTATATTATAAAATAACGGAAGCCCATAAACTGTATTTTATCTTTTTTTTTCTTCTTTTTTTTAGCTTATATCGCATGTTTTAATATCTGCATTGTGTGTATGTTTTAATATCTTATTAACATTATTAAAACCGTGGAATACAGCTCTTTAATTTGAACCCTATAATAATTGCATCATTTTGTATTTCATATCAGGTAAAGGTTAACGTTGTGTACTTTACCACTGCAGAGTTGACTATTTGTAAATTCTTCCTCTCTTTAAACTATAAAATAATTCCGCACAAGGCTTGTTCAATTCAAATTGTTAACAATAGACGTTATTGGTACCGGTATACAGTTGCAAGCAACATGTATACATTGCTGCGGGTTACATTTTAAAATATTTTTATAATAGAGTTATTGCTTAGCTCTATCAATTAATTCAAAGGTTCCGATTGACGGTTTAAAAGTCCCGTTTTTGTTACTTTACTGTAGTATTCATCTGCATAAACCACAGTTTTGTCAGCATTTTTAATGGTTTGAGTTCTGTTATATATAATCTTATCAATGACAATATATTATGAAAATTTATGGCCAGCACGAATGATATAGAAATTAGATTGCTTCCCTGCAGCAAGTTTCAACATACAAGAAACGAACTTGTTTAAAATTTATGAACGATGTTGTTTAAGTTACGACGCTTTGGGATTTAGTTCAGGTTCAGTGTTAATATGAATTTAATTAATGATTATTATTTAATGATTGTATGTACATAGGTGCATAGGCATGGGTAGCCGAGGTACTGTAAAGTCTGTAGATTGGGTGAATACCCTCGGATGTGTGGGTTGATGAGAAGGTGATTGCTTCGTGTCTGGCGCCTTTTACATAACAAAATTAAATTTTAAATGGAGTTGTACCTTAGTGGTCAAATTCCAGGGTTCACATAATGAGTCTTTGATTGCGCCTGGAGAAGATAGTTGTTTTAGATTATCTTGTGTGTTTGTCTTGGGCCTAATTCATCCTGCAATTACAGGAAGAAAATTAACAAATAGGCCTTCAAGCTATAAAAATATTAAACAAAAATGCATCCATTTTTCATCTAATTCGTGCTGCCTTGATTTTCAGAATCGAGTGTTCATAATATATTCATATTTGACGAATCAGCTTAGCTATCAAGAAATATCATTAAATAAAGACAATGAAATAATGTCCATTTATCCAATTTATACGACATGTATCAGAGACTACAAATTGCCAACTAACCATCACACGCTCAAATGAACAAAAATGAAACCACCGCCATGAATCTAAAACAAAAAAAAAAACCAAACAAACAAACAAAAAAAACAAAAAAACAAAAAAAACAAAACAAAAAACAAACAAACAATTTGGAGGATCATCATAAAAAGACTACAGGGCCTAATGATCTGCCGGACAAATCTTAAGAAAACATCTTTAGTTTAGCCCCACTCAGGGCATGAAAGCTTTCCCTATAGTGATGAGAAGGCTTCTCCGTATTACAGCCATCCGTTTCCTTAGATATATGCTCAAGACATAGGTCCTAATATAATAGAATCCAGATCAGATCTTAGTGGGACAGAATTCTCAGGTTGGCATTGTCAACGACGTTGACCAGTAGACGTCTCCAGAACAACGATTTTGTCTTGTCTGAACTTTCAAAACTTGGCATCAGGCAAAAATTTTAAGCAGCTTCAGATAGAGATGCCAAGCTGTACCATAAGCAGCAGGTTGATTAGTGTCCGGAGTTCGCTTCAAAATGACTACCGGTACTTGATCAGTAGTTGATTCACAATACGTAGCTTCTAAATACAATATGGAGTAGTGGACGACAAAAAAAGAAATTGAAAATGTTGTTATAACTTTAATAACAAACTTATTGAAAGACAGCATTCCTAAAATGTTTCTCTCTATAATGGTAGTAATGTAATATACATTGTTGGGTTGTTTTGTTTAAGAAAAATACATGAAGGACGAGGCGTTAACTCTGAGCGGATGGTAGCTAGACGAAACCGAAAATATAGGATAACCAATAAATGAACAAAATTAAAATAAAAAACTGTAACTTAATATTAACCCTAATAAATAAAAGACTGACCACTCCATGCGTGTCTGAGTCAGAAATATTGCTGTGATCTGAGAAGCAGTTTACCTACCAGACGATACAGATCCCGATACAAAGGGTGAGTTCTCTCAGTTTAAAGAATCTTAAACCATCTCATTTATTAAGGATTAATATGAATAGAAAAGAAAAGGATAGCAGCAGGATGGAATGTATTGGAAGGAGACAGAAGAAAGAGCGGGACAACCGGAGAGCAGACGACAAGAGTACATTGCGGCTTTATGTGCTACGTGGCACGAAGAGGTTAGGTATGAAGTAATGGTGATCTTTTAAAGAAGAGAGGGAAGTTCGAGAGTGTTATAGTTGTGTGTGGTTTTTTTTTTATTTATATTATTTTGCAAGTCACTTTACCAAAGATCTGCGGTGGTTTTAGTGTTTATCTTCACAGTGACGTTAAATATTGCATCTACTTTATAAAGCTACGAGGAGGTTAGATGTGAAACAGTGGTGATTTTTATTTATTTATTTATTTATTTATTATTTTCTTAATATGGGAGGAAAGTTTGAGCATTTTATAGTTTTGTGTGTGTGTGTTTTTTAATATTTTGCAAGTTACTTTGCCAAAGATAACTGCGGTGGTTCAGATTTTACCTTCAGAGTGACGTCAATTAGTAGTAGTGATTTTATAAAAAATGGAGAAAAGTAGAAGCATTTTCTTTTTATAATAATAATAATAATTATTATTATTATTATTATTATTATTATTATTATTATTATTATTTTGCAAGTCACTTTACTCAGAAGATCTGAGGTGGTTTCAGTGTTTACCTTCACAGTGACGTCAATTATTGCATTTACTTTATAAAGCCAAAGTTCAAGTTTTGAAGATTACTGTCAATAAAACTTATGAATGAAAAAAAGCACGAGAGTATCACTCTATTAGCATTGCTGTTTGTGTTTATTCTTTTAAACAAATAATTCGTATTCACTGGTTTCCGTTCGAGATACGGCAACATTTGCGAGACGGTATCTTAAATCAAACGATGACAAGAATGTAAAGCCGGGACTCACTGGAGCGTTGTACGGCCGTCGTACGACTAATCCAACTCCACTCTCAGTGAGTGATAAGACGACGCTAAGCCGTCTACTACTTGTCGGTGGCAGTTTGAAAAGATCGACATTAATCCGTTTCGTGCGTTGTGGAATTGCGTTTTCCATAGAATCGCGTCGGCCGATTACCGTCGTCCACAGTGAGTGCCGAGAAAAAAGAGCAGATTCATTTACCTCAGTGTAGTGCCCAATTCACTACCAGAAAGACCCCCCTCCCCCATTTGAAAGTTTTTTGAATTGTGTATGTTAACTTTGGTGTCTTACACGGAAACAAAACAATATATAAAGCTTATTAGGTAACACCATAATATAAGCAATATATACACTATTCCTCTTTTAAAAAGTTGTCTAACATAATAATTGACATAAAATGTAGGCCCTATATCGCCTGTGAATAAAATAAAAAAATTAAAAAA